CTAGACAAAGCTATCTCAACACATCAGTTGTGTTTGTTCAGTTGTATAATGAAACCAGTCATTACATCCTGATGAGTCTGGACACTAGGCAGAGACACTCTAATGTTGATTTGGATTGTATATATATTCTAACAAGCACTCAAAGCCAGCAAGTCTCGTTGTGATCGACAACCAAAAAAGCGCACACTGCCATCAGAAAACTCACTCGTTGATTGAGACTTTTTCACATTCCACATGTCAAGCAACAGGGAGAGGAAGATGAGAAGAGAACCAACAGCTCAGAGAGTTTTGCAGTTCTGTATTTTTATGATTTGTGGATGTAAATTTTTAGTGGGTGGCTCTATAGGCGATACGGGACGCATAAGCGATTTACAACCCAACGAAGCAATTTTTCATCAATTGCAGGCCAACTTGACGTTAAAGGATGCTTCCAAGATTTCTCACTATCCTAGCACTGGTATCTTCCATAAACGGCCTTCCTACTGGTGAGTCGACATGCAATCATGATTAAAAAACATCATCGTTTCATTTGGAGCTTTTGCAACTGTTTCGAGTTATTGACGATACGAAATTTTTCATCTTTATAATACTCAATCATCGTATTTCTCGCTGCCTAAGGTGCTCCGTATTGTGACCCCACGCTCTCGAATGCTCCCGTCTTGAATGTCTTCACCACATTTCACGGAGCTAAATCTGCTGCCGTGCAGTATCAACTTACAAGCAGTGCTCCGAGCTATGCCACTGGTCAAGTTATGACCTTATCATTGTCTGGTGCAAGTAATGCTAATATTGGTGGTGTTCTAATTGGTATGTTATTTGTCGCGTGAACAGTGTTGGATCCCGAGTGACGATGTCAATTTAGACTACGTAAATACTTTGTTTTATAACGAATTTCAATCTAGGTGTGAGGGACGCCGATGGGAACTTTGTTAGTGGTATGGCGGTACCAACAATCGGCACTTTTAAATCTGTATGTGAGTTGGATACATTTGAGACCTGTAAAAGCTAGTAACTTTACTTTTTTATTCTTAGTGTGTGAATGGAGGTGTCGGGAGTGGAATGACGATTACTCATTCGGCATTGAATACTCTGGCAAAAATAGTATGTTAACCTCGTCTGTTCAAATTGATACAAAAATCTTTTTGACCAACTGGTTTACACATCAGGATATTGCTTTTACGCCTCCAGCGGGTACACTTGGTGCTTTAACGGTCTCAGCTATAGTGGTTTCGCAAGGTCTTGGTACCCCTTGGAGTACAGCTGTGATGACAATAAACGCTGGAGGAGCAGCTGGCGTTGGGAAGCCTGCGCCCGAACCGTGTTGCGGCAAACCTAAACCAGCTCCTGCGCCTGCCAGTTCCGGTCCGGCTCCTCAATCGACCGGTCCTGCTGGAAATTATGATGCAGTTAGAGCTGACATTGCCGCTGTAAGTATACGAATTCATTGTTCGTTGAGTAGCAGGTGTTGACACACTCCTCAACATAGATTCTAAACAATGAAGCATGGGATGATGGTAGTCTTGGACCAATATTTGTTCGTCTGGCTGTAAGAATTTTTGTCGAGATTGCAAACGACGGAGCAGATGATCCTGATGGTTTGACTATTTATTCCTCACTTTAGTGGCATACAAGTGGATCTTTTGATCCTGTGATGAAAAATGGAGGTTCAAATGGCGCTACCAGTGAGTGTGGCAAAGCGTCTCAACCTCCAATACCTTCTGATTGATTGATGTATGTATTTATAGTGAGGTTCCAACCGGAAGCGTCAGACCCACACAACAATGGCCTCCCGGCAGCAAGGGCGTTTCTGGAACCCGTAAGAGCCAAAAATCCGTGGATTTCTCGCGGTGACCTATGGACACTAGCTGGGGTAGTGTCTATTCAACAGATGGGTGCGATACACCCATAAGTACTTCATGCTGTCTCATGCTATGAACGTATTGTAACCCGACGATCTTTTATGATAGGAGGTCCAGTCATACCATGGAAGCATCGATGTCACACCCCAACAAGTAGCAGCAAACCCCGCAATAGTACCGCCATTAAACCGTCTGCCAAATGCTGAACTCGGTGCAACTCACATCCGGACCATTTTCGGCCGCATGAACTTCACAGATGCCGAAATGGTTGCCTTAATAGGAGCACATTCGCTTGGTCGAGCACATAGTGGTAACTCTGGATATGTTGGCGCATGGACTGCGACTCCAACCAAAATGAACAATCTGTTCTTCACGAATCTGGTGAATATCAAGTGGACACCCAATGTTCCCAATGCCACTGTGACGAAGATGCAGTATCAAGATCCGACGGGACAGCTTATGATGCTGCCGACCGATATTGCGCTAACGACGGATCCGATATTTAATAAGCAAGTGCAAAAGTATGCCAACGATAACAATGTAAGTAGGTTTTGTTTCTTTTGATGGAGTATGATTTTTGATAATCACATCTCTTAGGTCTTCACTGCGGACTTTGCCAGTGCGTTTGGCAAACTGATTGCCCTTGGAACATAGACGTTTACCAATATCTCGTTCACATAGTCAAGTTGTATTTTAGTTGACAATAAATTATGTGTCAGGCAGGAGAGCTTCGTGCTAAGTAGCACAGTCCTGTACAGCAGGAGGTGGTACATAGATACTATATCGAGACGAGAAACTAATAGTCAAGCAGGGAGTGATCGAATGCTCCTTCCACGTGAAATAATGCTGGCGGGATGTCATCCAACACGTACGTGAAAAGATCAAAGAGGAAAGGGCTCAAGGTACAAGGTACAAAGTTAGATGATCTGGTTTGTTGTTGCCCAGGGTTGCATCTTGCACTTCCCATGAATGACTACAAAACACACAACAGATCTCCACACAGATTCACACGCGACCACAGCAACATAACAAGAGAGGCGACCATTTTCTTCTTGGATATGACTACTCCAACAGGTTTCAGGTCCCGTGCCGAGTATGAACAAGCAGGTAACTAGTCAAAAGATCCCATTTCCTTGCTCTTTAAATCCACGACTCACGCAAACCCAATTATCTCATTCAGCACGTCGAGGATGGGAGAATAGTAAAGAATCCCAAGAGTATTGGATACCAGAACTGGACATTGTTGGCAAAATACCAAAAGAGGCATGTATCAGATCCTTTGCGTGACATTGATTATTGATTGAACGTGATCAATTTGTTTCAAGATGTGATTTTGTGTTTAAGAGCCATTATCTGATGCATCATTCTTATTCATATTCTAGTTTACTGGTACCTTCTTTCGTAACGGACCAGGTCTCGCTGACGTCTATGGCTTCAAGTTGAAGCATCCCATTGATGGCGACGGCATGCTCGCGGCTCTGACATTCGTCGATGGACGAGTCCATTTCAGGTCCAAATTCGTCAATACTTGGTACGGATGAACTTGTGATTTGGTCGTTTGTTTTGGCATCTCTGAACATGACACCTATCGACAGGCAACACCAACAAGAACAATACCATCGCCAATTCTTGTTTCCCGGACAAATGGGTTCGCGAAATGATTCTGTTGTGGGAAACAGTTTGAAGCTCCTGTCTTCTACTGTTACTGGCAAGAAGCCGCAGATTGGACCCTTGTAAGTTTTGTTCCTCTCATCAAGACAATCTACTAATCTTTTTTTTAGCCGTGATCCATCAAACACGAATGTGTTCTACTTTGGAGGCAAACTTCTGTCAGCGTATGAGACCATGCTGCCTCATTCCATTGACCCCTACACGCTCGAGACATTGGGACCGGGTAACCAGATCTTGATCTCACTTTCCCCAAGCTCTGTGATTTCTCACCGCTTTATTCCAGATGACTTGAACGGCACGCTGCCTCTGCGCTCTTTCGCGGCGCACTACCGCTATGATGCCAAAAAGGACGTCATTGTCACCCTCTCTCTTAAACCTGAAATGCCAGGTGTCGCTGGAATGAAGGCCAGACCGCCAGCAGTGCAGTTGAATGAATATGACCGAGACTGGAAGTGTGTTTCCTCTCGAGTACGTTATGGATGTTTGGAGCAAACTTTCGGAATCTGAACTTTTCCCATGGTTTAGATGCTCAACATTCCAGGATTGAACTATGCTCATGATTTCGTGTTGACTCCAAACGTAAGTATTGGACCCTATAAGCTGAATCACAACTCTGCCAGCTCAATATCAAACATATTTTAGTTCTACATCATACACATGACACCATTCGTAAAAATGACAGCTGCCCAGTTCTACGCTATTGCTGTGGGAGCTGGTGGTATGTTATAGGGACCCATTTCCTGCCGGAGTTTTCTCCTCTCCATGGGTTGTCTGACTCGATTATTTGACATCACAGGACCTGGTGATTACATGAAACACTATCCGGAACTTCCATCTCGCTACGTCTGTATACCGCGAGATGCTACAGGGAAAATTCAGCAATTGGACACTGGAAGGTTCCATATCTACCACTTTGGAAATGCAATGGAAGAGCCATCGAATGCCAAATCATCTTCTGAAGTGAAGAAGATTACATTCAATGCTGTTTGTCTTGGTGAAAAGTTTACTATGGAGTATGAGAAGGGATTGTGGTATGTGTCAAGTCATACAATGTAGTGGACGCCGGATAATTTTATTCCTTTGAGCTTATCTATACTCGATTAGGCTTGCCAATGCAACAGTCCAGCCAGGCCTACTCCACGAGTTCTCTCTGGACATGAAAACAAACACATGCACTCAATCAGTAGGCGACTCTTCCAATTCTGAATTTCCCTCCGTACACCCATACCGACACGGACAAGGTGGTCGCTTCGTCTATATGATGTCGTCTACTGATCCAGCAAATCCACTACCATTCGTGGATCTGGTGAAGTACGACTCGGAAAAGAAGGCTCGACAAGTATGGCATGCACATGGAGTTATCGGAGAGCCGTACTTTTGTCCGAGGGGAGGCGAGAAGAGTGCTACTGAAGGAGACGAAGACGATGGGTTTGTCATTGTGCAGGTGTATGTGGTGAAGGAGCATCGAACTGATTTCTGTTTGCTGGATGCCAAGCATGTTGACAAGGGGCCTATCGCAGTGATTCGATTGCGTCATCATATACCATATGGCTTCCATGGGTGAGTACATGCATGTGGATCTGATTATTGGTTTGAATTGAATAACGAAACGAAGAGGTTTCGGATGGTGAACTAACATCACATAACTTGGATCTATAGCACATTCTGCCCTGAAACGTTCGTGGCAGCACCACCAGCGATGAAAAGCTCTCACTTGTAATAGTTTGGTCTTTTAGTTGTTTCGATTGCACTTTTTTGGTATTCCTGATTAATTTTCCCGTGTCTGTTACCGAAATATATTCTGATCTAAGGAAGCTAGGAATCTGCAAAACCGTGTTTCCGAAGCAATTCCACGTTGATGCGATGCGTAAATCACACGTCCGCTTTGCACCTGTTAAATTTTGGATGGTTAAATTCGTCACTGATTGACTCAGCCTTAACCAGGATGTTCTTCGAATTGCATCACTGCTCGCAGATCGCAAGACAGAGGGAGAGAGATACAAACACTTCCGCCGGCAGAGAATCTGAATCGTGCAGCAATGTTACGACGTATTAGATCAGCGTTCATTGAACCACAGCCAGCAAGTGCTAATCGCTTAAATGAGGTTGGTTGCAAATTTGGGCGACATATATTAGTGACATTTTGTGACGATTGAACTAACCATCGACACTCTGATCACTTCTCTAGTATAAGATCCTACGAAAACTTGGTATGTAGCTCGCTGACTTGTCCTTCTTTGGTGTTGAAATCCTCCCACATCAACATCAAATGTTGGAGTTTGTAGTTGGAGCTCAGAGACTAACCCTGCCTTTCGTAGGGCAAGGCACATTTGGAACTGTGAGTTTGTGCGTGTATCTTCCAACGGGAGAGAACTTTGCTATGAAGACTCTGATGAAGAAGCCCTTGGAGAGAAATATGGCTCTAAACCGAATGGTGCATAGAGAGCTGGAAATCCTGACGGGGCTAGATCATCCGAATGTCATCAAATTAAAGGTAAACAGTGATTGAAATTGGACTTTGGCTCAAAAGAGAGGTTGTCGTCATTATGAGACAGGCTGGTGGCGAGACACGTGTCAACCACTTTCGTGTCGAATGCATATATGGAACGCAAGCAATCTCTCAAATGGCCTATTCTGATACTTCTACTTGCCCGTAGGAATGGTTTGAGACAAAGGACAAGTACTTTTTGATCTTTGAATATGCATCAGGTGGAGAACTGTTTCAGCGTATCAGTGAAAAGGGAAAGTTTACCGAGATGGATGCAGCCAAGATAGCCTATAGCTTACTTGATGCATTGAACTATATACACGAGCACAACATAGTGCATCGAGATCTCAAACCCGAGAATGTGTTATATCGTGACAAGACTGATGATTCACCAATTGTGATTGCCGACTTTGGAGTCTCGAATATAGTAGATGACCAAACTATGCTTCAGACAATGGTCGGCTCACCAGGATATGCAGGTAATTGTTTGTACCAGAATCATGAATGGAGATGCCAAAGTAGAGGTTCTTTTACTGACGGACCTTGTCTCGTCAATAGCTCCTGAAGTCATTGAACGAACAGGCCACAACAAACCTGCTGATATATGGAGTGTTGGCATAATAACATATACTCTATTGTGTGGATTCCATCCATTTCATGCGTGTGAGGACCAATCTCAATTGCTGAAAGCAGTTTGCAAAGCCGAATTCAAGTTTGAGAGTCCGTATTGGGACAACGTCTCTCAAGAAGGTCTGCTTGTTTTTTCTGTTTTTATGAAACACTACCTGATTAGGCGCTGATCGCAATCCATCTAACAGCTCAAGAATTCGTAATATCTCTACTACAACTCGACCCAAGTAAACGCCCCAAAGCCAAACAGGCCATGCTCCATAGCTGGCTCCTCGCACACGTATCCGCCGCTCGTGTACGAGCCCGTACTCTCCGTCCCTCAATCCTCACAAGGAAGCTTGATTCCGCGATTGATATGGCCAGCAGTACCCAATCATCATCTCAACAATCACCAACATCACCAACAGGAAGCATCGACGACTTGCATATATCATCATCTAGTGAAGCCTTATTGGATCGATCAGAAGGTGATCAAAGGTCTACAGACTCTGACTTGCCAGACTTGTCTACGAAATGGGAGCAGTCCGAAGATGGGTCCAAGATGGATTTGAATCACGCAAGGAGGGCATTGAGGAGAGTGCTGACGGCCGCTTCGCTAATTGGTAAAATGCAGCTTCAGCGTAAAAAATCAATGGAGAGTTTGAAGGGTAGTAGCTTTGCGGTGGAGAATGATGCTATGCCAACGGCGAATCCATTAAGTCCTACATCGCCGCCACGAATTATGGGTAGTACGGGGAGACGAGACTCTGCACCTGATCTTAAACGTATAAGGAAACCATCTATCCCTATCTCGTAAACACAGGTCATAATGTTTTTATTTTACTACTCACTCTATATCTATTCGAGCAGTCTTTGCTGTTCTTTAATAATCGTAACGCTTCTTGTTATTCTTGTTATATAAACCACTATCAGAGCATAACTGTTTGTAAGTTGATTTTGGTATTTGGGATATAAATTTATTCTAGCTATCTGCACCACGATAATATTTTGCAACATATGAAGCGAGACCAAAAGACAGAGAGGAGCACCCCAAAGATATACGACACTTCATCCTATAATGACAAAAAGAATGGTTGGTTTCCGTTTTCCAAAGATATCAAAAGTCGTTCGCAAGTATATGACCCTAATAAAAACACGAAACGTTATTACTGATCTTTCATCCTTTTCCAAAAACACCGTCTGCATACTTGGAATGGCAATCCACCATAACTTGGAGCATTTCGCCACGCCAAACCAATAGCAATAATACTCAATACAGCCACGATTAGCATCAATCCAGAATCAATCATCCAGCGTAGCTTGTATGGCAGGAATTGACAGACCAGCCACACCATCAAGATCCCAAATGTAACCCAGAGAAGTGTAAGTGGTCGTGCTGTGAGGCCGTAGCCTGCCATGTTTGCCTATTGCATGTAGGTTTGTGTGTTTGTGTTTCTTGTATGCCATGATGGAATGAAAGGGTGAATCGCAGATGGGTGTGTTTAGAAGGGCTTACGACAGTAATAGTCAACAAGATCAATGTAGCATCTAATAAAGTACATTGTAAGAAATTTGGCATCTTTTTTTCGCGCGATGCGTAAACCCAGTGATCACATACCACGAGCAGCACCAGCGAAATCAGCTATGCGTGTACCCCAAGACTCAGATTCAGGAGTGACTTGGCCTGCTGATGGTGTCATACCCGCGTATTCACCTCCTTCGGTAGCAGCTTGTGGTGCAGAGACGATACGGTCTGATGTGCCTGGTTCAGTCATTTCTGGTTGCTGTTTTTGTGGAGGTACCTGAGTGGAGGATGGAGCAGGAGGCGCACCTTCATAAGCATGAGGAGTACGACGAGTTGCGAGACGGTCCCAGACTGGAGCAAAGAGCAGGATTGCGACAAAGATGATGAAGGGGATGTATGTTGCGACCCATGCTCCTGTGAAATCAAGATAAAATCAGGTTTTCACTGTCAGATTGAAGGAATATTGTACGGAAGGGTTTGCCTTCAGTCATCCCACTAGTTGATGTTGGGGGAGTGTTAGCCGTACGGTATAAGTAAGACGTTGCGGAAAGAGGTAGACGTACTTGATAAATCGACGGTCTGCTCCAGCGCCATTCAAAGAGCCACCACTTATGATTGGTTATTGGTGTTAAGGCAGGCGAAGACAGCATAGGAAAAGGGAGGTAATCTTACCAAGGAGGATAGCAGATGTCGGCACTGGAAGGATGGAAGAGCGAAGGATAATCAACGGGAGTGTTGGGCATGGCTTCTTGTTCTTGGCGTTGTCTGGAAGTTTTGTAGCTGTCACTTGCGTTTTGAACAAAAACGGTGTGAGAAAAGACAGACTTAAACACGTGTAGATGCATGAAGGATAGATGTATAGAGTGCGTGACTTTACAAGTGCTTTTCTATGTTCATAAATTAACTTCCATGAGTTTCGTTGGTTGTGTGGATTTAAATACCGAGTTGCGTATATAAGTTAACAGAAAAAATAAAGATACGTTTCAGGCTGTTTTTACGTTCTAAGAAGGGCAAAGAAGCGGCTTCTCCTCTCCCTGGTTTTCAGTAGTATTGTTTCGTCGTGTGTGTTGTTGTCTTTTAGGGGGAACGACTATGCAGTTTTTCCAGCAGCGCGTTTCTTTGACGTATCCTCCTTGTAAGATTAATAATAGTTTCAAACGTTCCATCATCTGAAGAGTCATCATCGCTCTTGTCGTCTGCAGAAAAGTCGAAATGATCTACTGATTCTTCGGGTGATTTGCTAGCTGGTACGATAGGTTCGTCGAGCCATTGGTCAATCAGGGCTTCCTTCCAGCTCGATCGTTCTTCTATTGATATTAAAGCAATGTCAGCCAAAAAAAGTACATAGAGGCCACAGTTTACAAGACATACCTCGTTTGATGATGATTGGCGGTGGCGAGACGTGAATAGTACGTGGTTTGATGATTGGAATCATAATCTTTGGTAGTGGTGGCTGGTGCTGTGATACCGGAGTCAGATTCTTTGGCGTAGACATTCTGGGTGGATCGGATGTTCGAATTGGTTGTGAAGGAGCCATCATTATTTTGCGTTGTTTTGTTGGTCGCTCCATTGTTTCGGGTGATGCAGATGGTTTACGTTCTAATGGTGATGGTAGCGATGATAGTTCTTCTTGCTGAGATGATTCAGGTTGGAGATCGTATTGGTGATCATCCTGCTCTTCACTATCGTCTCTCTCGTCGTCCTTTGAGTGTGTTTTTCGATGTCGACTAAACTGGCTTGGATCGCTAAATCTCTTGATGCAGTAGGGGCATTTGAAGGGTTTCTCGCCTACCAAATGTAGTATGTTAAGTAATTGACAGGATAGCCTGGCTCGTATTCGTGTTTTTGCGTGTGTTGGGACAATGAATATGCTCCGTCCCAAACACAACAAACAACACACAAAGGACAAAGAATTCTCACCGGTATGAGTTCTCTCATGAGTTTTCAGCGCAGCTTTCTAATAGAGATTTCCATTTAAACCGTTAGATCAGTCTGATTGCCCTCAAAAAAAGGAGCGCGGCATTTTTTTAATGCAGATCCAAGATTTCATTTTAGGACACGAACCTGGACAAAGGACTTTCCACACTCCTCACAAGAATATGGCCGAGTTCCTGAATGGATCCGTTCATGTCTAGTGGTATAATGGGGTGTTGTTAGTTCGACCGCTCGCCACAAACCAAGCCCGTTTAATCACGTTTGGTGTGATCTATGGAGGGACTTACCGCGTAAGGTCTCCCTTCTTTGCGAACGACTTGCCACATCCAAAGGAGCATCCATGCTTCTTGGAGTGGTGCATGAGTCCACTGTCCATGGCTTGATCCATTGCAATCATGTCTGTCATAGTATGAGTTTTTGGGGAAATGAATGGGAGGGAAGTGTGGTTGAGGTTTTGAAGACCTTGACGACCGCAGCACAACAACGTTTTGGACGGCGGGAAGTGCTAGGTTTTGTAGCTAGGACTTATTGAGACTTGCTTCTGGTTGCCATTGGAGTTGGGACTTTTTTTAAACAGTCACAGAGTACTTGGTCGAGGTTGAAGACAAGAATTGTAAACAATGTTTCTGATTGGACGCCAAGATTATTGGAGACTTGGACGAAAGTGGGTTTGGAATCGAGATCCGTGTTGGGATTATGCTTTGTTGGGGTTTCAATTCAAGACATTTGCAACAACTCACACAAGTGCAAAAATCTCGTCAAAGTGTTACAATCCAAGCAGTGCAAGAGTGTTTCAACTGACAAGAATGTTCAAAATGATGGTATTTGTCGTGACCAAGCACTTGATACATCACAATAGACCGCGGACTCACGCTTACTAGACCTTGTCAACATTGCACTTTTCCAAAGACTGAAGTATGGATATTTTTAGTGACGACACGAACCGCATTGTGAAACTACACGTTCAGAGATGCTGATCCGAGCTTCTTTTGAATGTCTTGTACTGTGATTTGAACTGTTTCCGTTGAACGAGGATTCTGGCAGTGGGTTGCAGTCCTTCAACGTCAAATGTTTTACATCATTCCAGGACACGACTACTCGAATGACACCCATCGGCTTAGTGCTACCTTCTCCTGCAATCCCTTGCTTTGTTCTCGTGTCTGCTCCTCTCTTTCCTACAAGCCTCAAACTTGACTACACAAACACACATCGAAACAAAAACATTCAGGTTCCTGTCTCAAAAAGAAAGAGCAAACAGCTACATTGGATACACCAGGTGAGTACTGCGTCGTTTTCTGTTAATGTATAGTAGAGCGAACGGACGAGTCGTCACACTTTGTATTCACCCACACCACTCACCACAGAAGTACACTTAACTCAAGTCATTCAAAAGCAAGAACAACACCGAATCCAAAATCAATTATGGCTACACCTGTTCCAACACCACCAATAGGAGGAGGAGGTGGTGGAACAATTGGAACTCAGCAATTTGATGGTGGGATTGAAAGTCTATGGTGAGTGATCAACGCATCGCCAAGCACTGCATCGAATGAGTTATCATGTTTTCATGTATATCAAAGGGTCACTGTGTACATTCTGTTTATCCTCTGGGTTGGTACGTGTCTCTCGCTTGGTGTGGCTACTAAACACACTCAGATCGAGATGTGTTCTTGACCGTTCGCTCTTATTGTTCTAGTTGGATTATTCGTGGCACCTCTTCTCCAACGCTTCTCAGAACGTGGAGGAATGAATGAAGATTCGCCTGGACTGGTAAGAGCAGTCTTTAGTTAAGCTTTTCGGAAAAAGCCTGTTATTGGATAGGTCATCGCTTTTTTTCTGCTGATACATACTAATCATCATAAATTCACTCACTCCTCTTCTTGTTGACATCTGCTATAGGGTTCTCGTTCTGCAAACTTCACGCGTGGTGCTCGTGATGGTACATTGATCCTCCTGACTCTCACTTTGGTTACAATGGCTGGTCATGGTGCTTCAGGCGTAAGTATCCACCTTAACGTATTAGTACTGCTTAGTCAGTTGACCACAAACTGCTATCACTAGGGTGTCATTGCAATTCAATGGGTACTCTTGGGATTGCTTATCGTTTGGGCTGTCTGTCAAGGTACAGCAAAAAAAGAAGCCTTCGTGCGTTTTGTCAACGAAGATTGCTCACGCCCACTCAACTTAACTAGCTTTACATGAAGTCCCATGGTTTACTCTCCCCTTGATTGCTCTTCCTATTGCAGTGTTGGCCATTATCAATTTTGCCTTGGCGTTCAGGTATCAATTACTTGAATGTGGACATTGTCACTGATATATTTTTATTAATATGGCATTCTTGTACCAAGGGGTGCGCCCTCATATTATTGAGTCAAACGAAAAACCTCTGTCTGTGCGAAATTATTCCCTCTTGCTTATGTATTGATATGGTTTGTGCAAATATAACACATTTCTCGCAAGGACTTTTTTGTCGGTTCTTGTGCGTGGGTAACATTGACGACGGATGCTGATCGGTGCGTGTAAGATAAGGTTGAGCATTTATTGATTTCATTCAAGTATTGACAAGACAAAATTATCATTTCGTGTGGCTGAGAAACAAGAAACCACACAGATTTTAATGCCTGGATCGGCGGTTATTTTTGCCCAATTTGGCCTTAAGCTCGGCCTACATATTCAAAAATAGGTATATGTTAGAGTTTTGGCCTTGTGGCTAGTGAAAGTACTAGAGGCACAAACATGACAATGATTCACCTCTTCTGCTTCAACCTTTGCTTTGATAGCATCCAACTTGTTTTGCTGCTTGTTCTAATAGTGGAATTCAACTTTCAATATGGGGAATTCAGCAATCCCACTATGCCAATTGTGTTGTTACCTTGACGGCAGTAGTCGCCTGAGCTTTGGCTTGAGCTGTGGCCACAGCTTTAGCTGGTTGATCAGGCTTACAGGCCATCACCATTCTATTGTTTCAGTTTTAGCATTCGACGATTCGAAGCCACAACCTCAAACTCTTGCCTCACTTACCCAACAGGACATGTTGCTAGTGGAGTAGCAACTTTTCCAGCAGGATCTGGTACGGCAGCAGGTGGACCGGGCTCCGGAGAAGCAATTGCCGCGGGAACTGATGATCATAGCCAATGAGTGCAAAGCATGGATGGGCAGTATGGGATCAGTTGCTTTGTATGGGCATCAAGCAAATGTACGAGCCCAATTATATCACACAAAGAGAGATTTCACATACCTGGAGCGTTACCGGTGAGTTTGTTGCCGTTGGGATCAGGTGAGTAAATTGCTGGAGCGACCGGTCCACCGCCAGCTGGTGGAGGAGCGACTGCTGGCGGTGCTGGTGGTGAAGCGGCGGGAGCTGGTTGAGGGGCTACTGGAGGTGGTGGAGTTGTTGCAGCTGGAGCTGGAGCTGCCGGTGCAGCAGCGCCAGCTCCATTAAGTGTCATCGTTGCGGTATTCCATGGACTCCCTAAACCTTGGGATGTGACAATCGCAGATACCGTTAACGGGCCCGCTACACCCATAGGAGGTGTGAATGGAATATCCTAGCATCAGGATAGTGTGAGATTCTTCATTGACGTTGACCCCGCTGTTTTTGGAAATGTGGTTGCTTACCACTGAGGCCATAGCGTTCAGACCAGTATGAGTGACAGTCATGGCGCTTCCGGCACCACCATTGGAACACTATGACGGAAAACAGTACAGGACTCACATAAACTGTAACTCAAATGGGAACAACAAACTATACCATCTTGAATGAACCAGCAGCTGGAACAGCCATTCCAGCGACAAAGGCTCCAGCAGCATCTTTGACACCTGTTCACAATAGAAACAGGGCATTAGACTTCCGTTTTAAATTTGCCAAGATCTTAAAGGTCCAACAAGCCCTCTCATCACCAAGGCGATCGTACCAAACAAGGCTCCTCCAATATTGTCTCCGGACACTGTTATAGTCATAGCTGTGCCTGGTGTAAAAGTAGCCGTACTAATATAAAGTTTTGTTTAATTCGCTGTTTTGGTGATGCATCTCATCAAACTTATACCTCCCAGTGATCTTGTAATTAACGGCAGTAGACTGCGTTCCGTGCTTCTTTGTAAAAGCTCCACTGATGAGAGTAGAGTCGCAATATGGGCTACCTGTATATCATGATTAGTTAGCAACTAGACATTTCGTGATCATGTGAAAACGTTTCCAGTCTCGACAAAAATGACGAATTGTTGATGCTAACCTCCCGGAAGGCCGGACACTTGCACCGATAGAGCTGCTAGTGCGAAGACAGTCTTGAAAATCATACTTTTACCTATTTTGATCCTCGTAGGTTGAGAAAATTTGAATGAAATCGACACAATTTTGAGAGGGTGGTGATTTTGTGAGGTGGAGGTCCATCAAGCAGATTTAGTAATAGCTGTTTGGCGAGCTCAACTTGGTTTGAACTTGTTGCGGCGTTCTTTCTTTCATTGAATTGAAACTGGAAAATTTGTAGCAGAAATATAGGGTGGTGAGTTTGTGAGTTTGTGATGCAATTTCAAATACTAGTATTTCGTACAGAAAGTTAATTTGCATGAATTAGAGAATTTCAATAAGTACAAAACTGTCTGAAAATGAAGTTCGGTACTCAGATACTAAGCGACCGCATATAACAATACTCGATTATTTCGTCACAACAACTTTGAATGAAACTTTTCGAAACAAAAGGAAAATTGGAAAGCAGTGCTAGCCAAAGTGCTATTATGATACTCAGATCCCGCATATGTCGGATAAATGTCAGTTTCAAAACACATTTTTGTGGCAAGCGGGCAAGCTCGTTCGAACTTGCATTTTTGTACAATCAAACTCGAAACGAACAAGGTCTGGTTTCGGAATTGTTGAGCTAGCTTAGCGCTTGGAAACCCAAGCCTCCAAATAGTAAGTTCCTCTCTCTCGAGAAGAGCGGTTGCTCCATCATCGAATCCTGCGTCCATTTATGCTTGTGAAACTTTGTGTGGGACTGTGCACTAATGACAGTCTTCGTTGATAGGCCTCTCGTGGATATTAAATTCGATGGAGAAAGCGGCTTCTTTCTCATCAACATCGCTACGGATGTATGATTTCTCACCTTCATTGACAGTGGCAAAAAAAACCGCAACTGTATGGACCCAATTGCCAATTTGTATATCGACGAAAGGAAATCAATCAATAGAAGGTTCGGGTGGACATGCCTAAAAATGACAAGTGTGCGTATCAATCTTCAACCGCACACACCAACCGCTGACCTCTTCAACGGTGTGTCAACTCAACAAGCACAAGCAAAGGAAGTAACCAAGATGATCCAAACTAAGCACTTTATTTTTGGTCTCATGTTTTTAGGTGGCAGAGTATCAAGTCTACCAAATGGGTGTGTACAAATGGTTTCTTTGCATTTGGCACAACGCAAACATCCATTCTTACTAAAAGACATTGCACCCCTCGTACATATAGTGCACCTTTCTGTGATTCGTCCCAAATTACTCCAAATTTCAAGTCCATACACGGAGCGGACCAAACAGCTACCTACAAAATAGCGACTACGTATAAACTACTACTTATTTTTGCGGTTGAACAACAAAATGCTAATGATGTCTTTGTAGCAATCAGTCGTTTACGGCTGGTCAAGCTATGACGTTAACAATATCGGGTAGTAATATTGGTGGACTTCTTTTTGGTGTTCAGGATGCCAACAAGAACTTTGTTGGTGGATTGAAAGCTCCTACTACTGGTTCTTTCAAAGTGGTAAGGGTGGAACCAATGATTGATAATTCAAATACCTTCGAATCCTACCAACCATATTCAACTAGTGCGGTGCTCTAGGTGCTGGTAGCGGAATGTCCATTACTCATGGCTTATTGAACACTCTCACCACCCTTGTAAGTTTTTGCTGGTTTTGCCGAATTCGTGTGATTCTAGGATCATAGTTTTAATCTTCATTTCTTCACATCAGGATATTTCATTCACTCCTCCTGCGGGTACTATCGGCCCACTAACTGTTAGTGCACTGGTCTCCACTGGAACTGTTCACACTCCTTATGGAACGGCCAGTTTGACGCTTTCATCAAGCAGTGGTGCAGCAGGAGGTAGTAGTACTACTGCTACTGGTGCTGGTAAAACTATTCAATCTCCTGCACCGTCTCCTCAGTCATCAGCCCCTGTTGCTACACAAGTACATCCATCAGTCGCACCTGCACCTCAATCATCAGCTCTTCCTGCAGGATATGCAATTCCACCTTCAGCTGCACCGTTCCCATTTCAATCGACTGTGTATGTGTTTGTATTTTCCTGACACATTTGTTGACTTGCATCTGACTCTAACAATTCGTTATTATATAGGGCGGATAAAACTGGCTGTGTGCCTTGTCAGAATGGAATCCCTATTAAAAAGAGGCACGTTAATGAGGACCAGCATACAGGTTATGCAGGTGATTCCGAACTTTGAAGGGTTGAGCAGAGGTATGACATTTTCTCGCGAATTGTGAAACATTATTTACGGTACTCCGCCTGCAGTTGCTGTATTGACAAGAGAGCAGCGCATATAGAATAAATTGTGTTGGTGTGAAAAATGCACTTTGGACAACGATCACAACAATTAGAGCAAATTACTAGGATTTTTGTATTTGTAGACCAAGAGCAAAGCAAGTGTGTTTTCGGGGCTCGCCTCCGCCAGCTTTACTAAGATAAATTCTAGTGGTATTACAAACTGGATGTTCTTGTCTCACTCTAAAGGTTTGGTCAGCCTAATCTCTATTCAACAACCATCAATGACAAAACTGCTTGCCGCAACATGACATAACTTAAACAGAACGACCTTGCAATAGGACAAGACAAAGCATGAAAAGCAAACAAGAGAAGGATGGGGAGACATACGGTGGAGATCACTCAAAGGCCTATGGTTCGGTTCTTGACCTTCGCTGTGTAAATCTCATTGGTGTGACTTTACAAAAAGGAGTTGATAGTGTCTGTCCCCACAGACCTGTTAACGAGTCCGGTCCGATCCGCTTGGAGTCCGCGGACGCATGACCAGTCCACTAGGTCCGTGGACTTTTGCTTATGTGTTATGAAACAGACGCAAAGAAAGAACAACCGAGAATACGCTAGTAGGATCAGCCCATTTTGTTACTTTTATTTGAGATTAAGATGACCAAAACATTTATTTCGTGACTTCTACTCCCACTCTACCAACTCGCGCTCCACCTCACAATCAATCAGCAGTAGCAGAAATCCGAAGTGCTCCTTCACTGGATTGCACGTCAGTCATTGGAACATCCTCGTTCGACCTCATCTCCTAAAAATTCTGTATGAAAAACAGCGGACGTCAACCTTTCATATGCGGAGCTTACCGTTCTGGGTACTATGCAGTGTTTGACTTGTGCAAAAAACGGGTTCATAGGGCGACGTTCGTGTTTTTGTTCTATAGGAGGCAACGCCAGACACCTTCTCGAAAATTATGACGTAGATATTTGTAAACTTGCAGATTTCTTCATTTTTTAGGCCGTTTATGACCTCTGATTTAAGCTCATTAGTCCACGGACTCAGCGGACTCGACTTGGCAAGAAGTCCGGTCCAGTCCGGTACCGGTCCACTCGCCTTCTTCACAGGTCTGGTCCGTGGACAACCGCACTCACGGACCCAGCGGACCCAGTTCGCGTTCGTTTCAAACACTAGAGTTGAACATGCACCCAAACGAAAATTCATTCTTTCAAAGAGTAACAACTCACTTTAGAACTTTTTCATAGGCTACAAATCAACAAACCCTTCGAAAGAGGCGACCAGCGAGTCAAAATGGCTCGTCCAATAAAAATTGCGAAACATGTTGAATTGTTTTGGATTCTACGGCCGCAAATGGACACTATGGAAGGATTCGTGATTAAAACGACACGAAAAGGCATTTCTAGACGCGTTCATAGACACCGAAACTTGGTCCGATCGAGATGTGAATTGAGTACTATTAAAAGTTATCCATCTCCAAAATACCATCTCAATAACTGCTCACTCACGAAAACCCCAAATAACCAGCAATTAACGAAAACGATGAAGAGATCTATACTAATTCTGTGTGCTGGACTCTTCTCTGTTGGCATGGTTCCTACATGGGCTCTCCCCAATGGTAAAATATGTTTTTTTTTTTTTTTTTTTTTTGCATTTGAACCGACATTTCACCATACTTGTCACGAAATATGTATTATTACACTACTACAGTAACTATAATCGAACAGCCTTAACTTTCAAGCTTTTGTTTCAATAGGCAGCCCTTATTGCGACTCAACAATGGTGTCGAACGGATTTAAGAGCAAGCACGGAAACTCCAACACTGCAAAAGTGACTATTGCTGCAGAGTGAGTTACAAAATCAATCGATACTTTATTCAATCATTCAAATCAGTCAAAATGGAGTGAAACCGGTGCTTTGTTGAAACCATCGTCAAGAAATCACACTTGAGATGTTGTACCCACAACACCGCAACAGAAGTCTGAAACTTTTATCCTTCTTAATAGTGCACAGGCATTCACACCTGGAACACCAATGATGCTAACGCTCTCAGGGCCTAATGTTGGTGGACTGATTTTTGGAGTTCAAGACGCCAATAAGAAGTTCGTCGCTGGACTTGCTCTTCCTGCTGGTGCTTCCACAAAGATGTGCGCTATTGGTGGGGTAAGCACTATCACTCACACTGCATTGAACCAAGTTGCCACCATGGTAAGTCCCTTAAGTGAAATGGTCTATTGCTTGAATTGTTTGGAGTTGCACTCTTTCAACAAGTAAACCACCATTTTCTGGCTTTAGAATATACCATTCACACCACCTGCTGGAGTTCTCGGTCCCTTGACCGTCTCAGCACTCGTGTCAACTGGCTCTGTTGGTAGCTCATGGGGACAAGCATCAATGACTATTGCTCAGGCTGGTGGCGTGGCTGGAGGAGCTGCAGGCAACGGAACAAAGGTCGCCCCCTCTGCTGCTCCTCTCAAAAGTCAACCTCCCGTAAAGGCCGCAACACAAGCTGCTAAGGCCACTCAAGTCAAGGCTGCCGCAACAAAGGCCCCCGTCGCCACGAAGGCTGCTAAAGCTCAAGCGACACAAGCAACAAAGCAAGCTAATGCCAAGGCGACTCAAGCCGCAGCAAAACAAGCAAATGTAAGTTGGCTTGTCTTTTAAATTCGGTCAAGAAATTCATAGAAACTAACAATTGATACTGGAATCAATAAAACCAGGCTAAGAATAATGCCAAAGCTGCTGAAATTAAAGCTAAAGTCGAAGCCGAAGAGGCTGAGGTTAAAGCCAAGTTGGGTATTAACTGAGTGGTTGTAGTCAAAAGTCTCAAATATCTTGATGTCTTGTTTGCTTGGTGGAAAGCTTTATTAATGGAGTTATGAAAGAGGATAATAAACCTGTACTCAATAAACCTTAAGCTTTCAAACTTCAAAGATTTGTTGGTTTCATAAAAGGCTGGAGTTTTCGTCGAAACGCTTGTTCGGAAGCAGGAACTGACGACGTAGCACTACAAAGCAAGCCTATGCTGCTCATTCATATTCATTGCTTGGCGTAAACCTCTAATCATGAATCCAACAGCGGCTGGTCGAAATGTGAATCCAATGCTCGCCCTAGCAGATTTGTCTCAGACACTAACCGAATTGACATCAACTAATGTTCAACCATATCATGAGTCCATTTTAGTAGTTCTCAGAGTCTCTTCTATGGTCAACTGGTGGAAAAGGGGTTGGATTCCAGGTGAAGACTTGCACGTCACGTCACGTCGATACAAGGTCCTATTTACGTGGGGTTGAGTAGTTAAAGACGACTGGAGCGATCTTCCATGGGACTTGTACGGTCTTACTGCACGTTCACTAGTCCTCAGATATGAAAACTTGGGATACCAGTGTTTTACAAATTTCCTTGCCGCAAATGGAAAAACCTCATCAATTTTCTTCATGAGGAACAACAATAAAGATCAGTTTATATGCTCTCATTTAATATGAAGAAAGCATGGATGGACTAGAAGGTTGACAAATCAGAGTTGTCGACACAATTCAATCGCCAAACCACCAACTCAATGAAAAACTTCACAACTTCCACCACTAACTCAACAAATCTAAAGGGAGAAAGTAAGAAACGATGAAGGCATTCATTATCTTAGCGTGGACTGGACTGCTTTGTGCTGGTGCAACATGGGCCTTACCAAGCGGGTATGGTTGCTTTATGTGGTTTTCCTTCAATCGACAACATATAACAAACCAAATCGTCATTAAACAAATCATAATATTGTTTATTTAGGGCGCCTACGTGCGATTCTGCGAACCCCACCAACCAATTCAAGTCAAAACATGGCAACAAAAACACTTTAACATTGAGTATTGCTCCCAGGTAAGAAAAATTCATGTGTTTTTATAGCCACAAACTGACGTTGATATTCCACCTCTTTCAAACAGCACTCAAGGATATACGCCTGGTCAGCCCATGACTCTTACTCTCTCTGGAGGGAACGTTGGAGGAGTAATATTTGGAGTTCAAGATGCCAACAAGAAATTTGTTAGTGGACTTTCTGTTCCAGCTGGGGTTTCCATGAAGATGGTAAAGTAGACAACATGTTGAAGTAAATCGTCTGTGACTGATATAACGATTCAACGTAGTGCACTAACGGAGTCGGGGCTGGTATGACCGTTACCCATAGTGCGTTGAATCAAGTTTCGTCAGTTGTAAGTTCTGCATTTTTGAGTTTCGTTTCATCTAGCACTCAACCAACAGTAACCAATATCTTTTGTTATTTTAGACCTTTCCGTTCACTCCTCCTGCCGGTGCTACAGGCCCTTTGAGTGTATCTGCACTTGTATCGACTGGTTCAATTAATACTGCTTGGGGCCAAGCTACTTTATCCCTTGCTGCAGCTGGCGGAGGACGCGGCAATTCAACCGGAAATTCAACAGTACCGGCTGGGAATGGTAAGAACAGTCCAGCACCCGTCGATGGAGCAAAAGTCAGCCCTGTTGCTGCTAAACCGGTTCAACCTGCTGCTACCAAGCTTGCTGCTACGAAAGCTGCCAAGGCAGTAAAAACCACTGCTCCCAAAGCTACTCAAGCAGCCAAGAACAAGGCAAGTTGTTTCTGTCTTGTGAATGGTTTGGTCCAAACAGCTAACATGGTCGCTACCATCAATAGAAGAACAACAATCTGAAGGATAAGATTGAAGCCAAAGAGGCCGAGATTAAGGCCAAGTTGGGTATCAACTGAGAGGTTTCAAGCCTCTACACAAGTTGCTTGGTTTGGTGGAAACTTCAATGACGCAATGGATCATGATATTATAAGTTATACTCAATAAAATGGCTGATGAGTGATTCAAAATTCACAAAATCCGTCCTAGTTGTACCGTTGATCCATGGCTCCGGAAAACGACAGAAATTGACAAGGCGTGAAGCAGGAGCATTCAACTTACACACAGATATCTGAATTTGCTTTGCTTGACGAAGAAGACACATCGAAAAATGCAACCTGAAGAGCGAATTTATTTTATCTTGATGTCAGTTACGATATCAGCAATAAGAGCAGAAACAACACATATGCATTTTATTTATTTGCCTGTTGCTGTAGCTTTGGGAGCAGCAGCTGTATTGTTGGGAGTGTGCTTCTTCTTCTTGTTGGCCTTGTTCTTGTTCTTTGCCTTGAGAGTTTGTTGGGGTTTAGGAGAAGGTGTTGCTGCCAACTTGTTGACACCGCCAGTTTCCTGCAATTTGACAAACCCAACAGGATCAGGTTTCGGACTATACAATGCGGGTGCTACAGGTGGCGGTTTAGTATCGCCTACTTTTCCGCCTGTATCAGTTTGTAGAGGAGCTGGAGCGGCCGATTGAGCCGCTGGAGCTATGGGAGCTACAGATACGACTACTGGTGCCTTTGATTGAGCGGCGGGTGCGGCTGATGGTTGTGCTTGGTTACCAGCAGGACTAGGAGCAGTAGTATTTCCACCACCACCAGCTCCTCCTCCACCCCCACCGGCTTGAAGTGTAAGCATCGCGGTCCCCCATGGAGTTCCAATTGATCCGACTGTAGCCAGAGAAACAACAGTCAATGGACCAATTGTACCAGCAGGTGGTGTAAAGGGAATATCCTGCCGTGAAATAACATGATTAACAAAGTAAGCACTGTGAAAAGTTATGAGCCCAAATAAGAAGACGTACAAGCGTCGTGAGAGCGTTTAGTGAGCTATGAGTAATAGAGAATCCACCACCAACACCAGCATTGCACTAATTGAATGCGAAGACTGGTCAGATTCAACAACCTGATGTGAAACTGTGCGTGCCTTCCCAGCCTACCACTTTGAACGAACCAGTTGTTGGAGCTGTGACTCCACCAACAAATCTCTTGTTGGCATCCTGACCTCCAAAAATCAGGCCACCGATATTACTTGTTCCAGATAAGGTCAATTTCATCGCTTGTCCGGCAGTGAACGTTTGAGCACTTTTATACGATTGAGTCTTATAAGTATCTTGATGACAGGTTCGATCTGAATCATTCGAGACCCACCTTGACGTAATAGTGTACTTTGCAGTCGAATCCTTGCCGTGTTTGTTTAGAAATCCTAGTGTTTGTGTAGTTTGATCACAGAACGGGGCTCTAAATAAAAAGAGATTTAAAGAACTGACTCAATGATGCAGAAACTTCAATTTAAAGGTATTTGGGTAGTGTGCCATTGCTCAACAGGAAACAAAAAACCCACGAAGGCAGCCTAAAATCTTTCACTCACCCTCCAGGAAGGCCTAGAGTGCCTCCAAATAAGCAAACGACAAGAGCAGCGGCGATTTTTAAAGTCATGGTCTTGGTGGAGCTCAAAGAGCGGTATAGGAGGTGTGACTTTGGTGGAGGGAGCTTGGATTTTAGGGACAATAGGCCAAATCACTAGTGGAAACACATTTTAACTCTGCAAAGGTCTTGCAGCTCCTTTCGAGTCTGCTTTTGTAGCTTTCTGATTGTGGAATTGGTGTGTGCATTTTTTTGTAGCTCGAATTGTATCGGCCGTTATCTTATCCAAGAACACAATAGAATCGAAACGAAGAAGATTTTTTGGAGGGAGGTAGTGCTGGAGTCAAATTGTTTCAAGTTCTTCGAGCTCATGAGGTTGACTCCGAAACCCTGAAAATTTGAATGTCGATCCAAAATCGAAGGAAACATCAGCTACAAAACAGCAAGCTGCCTTGATGGAAATGACAATTCTACCACAAAAATGACTGAATTCACTTTAATTTGATGCGAAAATGCGTCATATGCAATAACGAGCAGAAAACAAGCAAAACACATTTTACTTGGTCGTTACTTGACCGACAGCGGCAGTCTTAGCTTTCTTGCCTTCTTCTTATGCTTCTTCTCTTCCTTCTTGGCCTCTTCCTTGAGTTTATCTCCCTTCTTTTTTGGCTTGTGGGTCTTCGGTTTAGCTGTTGGGCTTCACACCAGTCTGTTGTGCGAGTAGCTGAAAGCCTCCACCTCTTCAATTGGGGCTCTGCAAAGCTGTCGCGGGTTGCTTGTAACTTCTTTACATTACTCGGTTGTGCGGCATTAGGGCTATACAATGCGGTTGCAATTGGAGGCGGGAGAGCAATGGTTGAAGCAGACAAAGGGCCTGCACAAGCAGTTGGAAGCGATGGTGCTGCTGTTTGATGTGCTAGTTTACCAGCACCCGTGTCTAAATGAACTACAGGTGGGGCTGCCGATATGGCTGCAGTTGCTGGGTGGGGTTGTTGGCTAGGTGGAGCTGTTTGTTGTGCTAGTTTACCAAAACTGGTACCTACAGGCGGAGCTGCTGATGCAAGTACCGTAGATACAGATGCCTGTCATTGTTTGTCAGTACCAGTACCAGTACCACCGCCACCTCCTCCTCCTCCTCCTCCTCCTCCATTTCCTTGAAGCGGTAACATAGCAGTGCCTAATGAAGAGACGGTCAATGGGCCAGTAGTACCAGGAGGAGGCGTAAATGGAATGTACTGATGTATATAAAGGTTAGCGAAGGTATTGATATCAATTCACAAAACAGGGAGGACTCACAATCATTGTAAGGGTGTTCAACGACCTATGAGTAAAGATCATCCCAGAACCAGCACCAGTACCTTGGCACTATTTAATCAAGTGACCTTGTAAGATTCGCCGTTTTTGAGATTCGCCGTTGTTGAAGTACAATGATTTCATTCTAGCCTTACCACTTTGAAAAAACCAGTAGTTGGAGCTGTGACTCCGCCGAGAAAGTTGTTCTTGGCGTCTTGGATCCCAAATAGGATTCCACCAATGTTACTTCCAGACAATGTGAGAGTCATGGGCTGACAAGCAGTAAACGATTGAGCACTACAATCAAAATATTAGGATCTTGCTGTTCAATGGCAATCCAAGACTGACAACTGTAATCGAAAGTATATGGGTGTTGTTCTTGTTCAACCGCAAAAGGGTCATGCTCTGGAGGTGATTTTGTAGGTTGCTGTTTGATCAGCACCATGTATGGACTTGAAAGCGGCTGAGATCTGACTGGAATCACAATAGGGGGACCTGTATTAAAAGTTTGAAATTCGTTTAGTAAGAAAAGTGTGAGTATTGGCAAATGCAAGCGATTCCACTCACCCTGTCGGTAAACTTGATGCTCTTTCGAGTAGAACGAGCGCGAAAAGCACGGGCGTGACTGAAATCATCTTGATTTCTGAACTTGATAAGTCTCAATAAGTGGATTGATGTGGTCATTTGTATATCAAAACGGCAAACGGTTGGTGGGTGTGGTTTAGTGTGTGACCTTAAAAGAGAACTATTAGACTGCAATTGGGGTCTCGTGCTTTCACGGCTGAAAAACCAGCCATTGCGGCCAAACCAATGTTTTCATGTTTTGACTTCAAGTTGTTGATGCAGTTCAAGAAAAGCATACTTGCAGTTACAATGTTGATGCCATCAGAGAATGCATCGTCCATTAAACGAAATTATTGACAATGGGTTAGCTCCTGGAAACAGCCAAAGTCTGGAAACTCTTGCTGAGAAAGTTGACCACAAAGAAACATAAAAGAAATGCCGATTGAGGGACGACTTGCCCGTTTGCAAGATCAGAATGTGAATTCCAAAGCTGTATGTACAGCCCGGAAATCCAACCTTTTGAATTAGTCAGTAGTGTGTTAGTCCGCGTTGTTGCAGATTGGAGATGTAGGCAGCCACGCATATAACGAATAGGCAAAGTCCTTTCTAACTCGAAATTGCAGTGTGCTATAGAAGTCGACGCTATGATGACCATCACTCATACTGCACTTAATGCCATGTCAGATATGTCTCATTGTTCATCCTAGAAACAGATTCTTCTTACCAAATCAAAATACCACTTAGGACCTCCCATCCACACCTCCAATGGGCACAACGTTTTCGTTTAGCATGTTTCAGAATATTACATTGACTATAAAAAACTTAATTAATCCCACAAAAAAGTTGTTTGTTCGCGGATTCTTTTGGTGGGTTGCACTCGTAAGACGGGAGGTCAAAACACCCAAGAAATTCATCTACAAAGACCAGCTTTCTGAGCATCGATTCCAATAATCGAGACTGAGGGTCTCGGTTGCTGTAGAATCGCTCCTTCTGGATGTTTGAGTCTTCACCGACGCACTAATGAAAACGAGCAGGAGAAAGCCCAAATGGTCTCTCCAAAAGCAAATATTTCATCATATCTGATATGCATTAATGTCCTCTTTATGGGAAACACAAGCGACCGATATCAAGCATTCCTTTTAAAATTGAATTTCTGTGAATGAAAAGCTCAAAGAATTAAAAAGAAACTCGGTGACATCATTGAGATCTCCCGACGGACCAAATAGCTGACCAACAGAGACGATCGATTTTTTAATCGCTGAAGAACCTCGATGTTTTCTTCGGATGCCCCTCAGACTGCCCAATCGAGGGAAGGGGGTCGACAATCAGATCCTGGTTTCAAACAAAAAACGCGAAAACCCAAAAAAAAAGTGCAATAAGCTTGCCAACTTATTGAGATAAACGGAAGACATAAATTTAATCAATCTACCAAGTTTGAAACCTTAAAAGCCCAAGTTTTCTAGGTGCTGTTAAGACGATATGCCTGGTGGCGAAAGGACGTATCGTGTCGCCCCGCCAATAATTGAACAAGTCGATCAATATTCATCAGTGCGACCCGAAGACCTCGAGAATGGGATCCTAACGATATCAGACAACGATGTTTCTACCACCGCCGCCAACTCGACTGGCTCCAACCATTCCACCAAAAGCACACCTGCAGGCAAGAATTGGGTCGTTGATGGCCTACGTACTACCGGATCACCAGGAAAATCCAACCTATCACGAAGCAACAGTAACGATGGAGTGACTTGTAAAAGTGGTGGTACTGGTGGATTATTGAAAGCTTCTCAGGGCATGTCACGAGCCAATTCCGGTGATGGAAGCACGAAAGGCATGTTGAAATCCCTGTCAAAAGAGATGGGAATGACACGTCGCCAATCGAATAATTCAAGCACCTTTTCGAAATTTCGGTCTCCTGATGTATCGGCAATCCAGACTGCGAGATTCAAGGGACATCATGCACCGGCTGAAACTCCTCACGCGTCACAGTTTCCGTCAATGCTGAGTAAGGAGTTGGCCTTATTGGACATGTCGCAAAAGTACGATCAGCAGCTGGTTGAGATTGGTGAAGAAGGTACTGGAACTACTCAAGACCGTTTGCCGTTGGTTGGGGAAGTTGGACGTGCACGATCAGTCGAACCTACGTCACCAAATGGTGGCATCACCGGTACCAAGGAAACCAAGAGAATGTCGGCTGCCAAAGCAGCCGCTGTTGGAATCGTCAAGAGACTAGGTAACATCGGTAAATCACGACCAACTACCGCTGCTACAGCTTCTACCTCTGGGTCAAACAATTCTAGTAAAATTGCAACACCAACAAACAATTCCAGCTCGTCTGTCGATCTAGTCGCTGCACTGCCAATCCAGAAACCCAAGTCGATGCCGAAGAGAGGTGCTGCTGGTTCAGCATCAGCTCCAGAAGTGAAATTACGAGCAGATTATGAATTGGAAGACTTTGATTTACGTGAACAAATTGGAAAGGGCGCATTTGCTAGAGTATTCTTGGTCCGTTTCAATCCTCGTGCTGGTCTTGCACCGCTTCGTAGTGGTGCAAAATACTTTGCGCTCAAGGTGTTGAGCAAGAAGCAGATAGTTGATACTCGACAGGTCAGTATTCTATCTTGTACTCTCATTTACCCATAGAAAGAGTTATTGTCATTACTTATCATCAACTTGGCATTTAAACTACAGGTCAAGCACGTCATGAATGAAAAACATCTTCTGGAAATGAGCAAGACGCCATTCGTCGTCAACCTTCTCGCAACATTTGTGGATCCAAGGCATCTCTTTTTGGTTATGGAATATGTACCTGGTGGTGATTTGTTTTCATATCTGAGAAAATGTCGACGATTCCCGGAAGAGACAGCCAGATTCTATTCTTGTGAAATCCTGATGGCTTTAGAATACCTGCATTCTCTCAATATCCTGTATCGAGATTTGAAACCTGAGGTTGGTGATTGAACCTTTGATTGTGTACTTGCATACCATGCAAAAAATTGTCCCAAGACTACACTCCCAACACATCATACCAGACTCAGATATCTCACCCCCTACTCCCACTCTCTTTCCATTCAGAACATTTTACTAGACGGCCAAGGCCACCTCAAACTCGCCGATTTCGGATTCGCCAAAATCAGCCAAGACGTCGCAACAACTTTCTGCGGCACCCCGGCATACATGGCTCCCGAAGTAATCCTCAAATCCGCCTACACACAATGCGTCGACTGGTGGTCCTTTGGCATCGTCACCTACGAGATGATGGCCGGATACACACCCTTCCACGACACAACCCCGCAAAAGATATACGAGAATGTCCTTGGCGGCCAATTCCGCTGGTCGTCGCAAATCCAGCCTATATGTAAAGAATTCCTGAAACGGTTGCTGGACCCGATACCTAAACGCCGACTGGGCACTGCACATGGGCTAGCAGGAGCGACTGAAATCAAGAATAATGTATGGTTTGACGATGTTGATTGGGATGCTGCTGCGAGGAGGGAGGTACCGGTTCCATGGGTGCCACCAGTTGGATCTGATTCTGATGTTACGAATTTTGAAATTTACAAGGATGATTGCTCTGTTATTGATGCGGCTAGAGGTGTTATGAGAGCTAATGAGACTGATGGACTATATGATGATGCATTTATTGGCTTTTGAGTGAAAGCCTTTCACACACGATCAGCCTTGTGATTTTGTATAATATATAGAAGATTTTACAGTGTCAAATGATGAATGTTTATGCTATGCAAGGAAGAATGTTTTTGTATTACAATGTGAAGCGAAAAAAGAGAAGAGATGTCGACTATGTATTCGTCCAACTGCAAATATTCCCATCTTCACCACCCGACACTATGGTGTTCTTCGAATCCCAAGCAACTCCTCTAACAATATCGTTGTGACCTCCATTTAGCGTATACATGAGCTCCAGACCTTCCAAGCTCGAGTTGAAGATTCCGACGTTTCCACTAGTTGGAGTACAGACATTAGGAGCTGAAACAGGTAGAGCATACGAACACGGCCTTACGTTTGCGAGCCAGTAAACAGATACAGTCTTTGATCTTCCGGCGAATAGCTGACATCAATCAGATAATCGACCGTAAGATGCGGCGAGGATATTTTCTTGACTTGTCCATAGTTTACAATCACATCAGCCTACCATGAGAGTCAAGGGTGAGTAAGCGTTGGGAGTACTATGACAAGCGTCCTGACCCTCAAGAGGGGATCAGCTCCCACCCATACCTCATCATTCCAGATCGAGAAAGTCTCCATATGTGTAGTCAGGTATATGTACTCAGCACTCGGCCCAAAGAAGCCCGCCTTATGCACAGAATCCTCTTTGATAACCTGGTACAGACTCTCGTCCTCATCAAGAGCTTCATCCAACTGATACAGGCAGAGGAGTCCATCCGTACTGCCACTCAGCATGATATTGCTTTGTGTGGGGTGGAACTTGACCTGCGTTATATCATCGGAATGTACATCTGTAAACACTTTGAGTGTCTGCGATGCATTCCTGACATCGTAAAACAGGATGTGTGATTCGTCTTCTTCTTCAGTTTTGGCGAATTCAGTGCCACCAGCGACGATTTTCTGGTCGCTGTTTACACTTAGACTGAGAAAGGGAGCTGTCCCTATTGTGTTGTATAGCGTGTTAGCGCATGGATTCGTTGAATCATCTTTTTTTTTTGCTTGCCTGTGAATGTGAGGACACAACTTGCTGTCCTCGTATCAAAACACTTTATCGTGGCATCTTTACCACACGTCCATATAGAGTTAGAGCCTACATATAGATCGGAAGCTTCGTGAAGAGCCTCCACCATTCCACTTTGTTGCAATCGTCCACCATTCTCTTGATACATCCGCACTATATTGTCAGTCCAGAGCGAGTAATATACGCCATTAAACTGCTGCAGCAGACTCATCCAATTCTGGACCTTGCTCTTGGGTGTCGTAAGTGTCGATTTCAGTTGGAAGGGCTTCATGATCGTCATTTTTAGTATTTTTCGTATATTGTCCAAATTGTTTTTGACATTTGAGGTGGAGAACGAGGTGGTGGTGATGTCTAACCGCTTCCATTCTATAGAATGTCTAATGGAACTACTTTACCATTAGCCGCACCATTGCCAACACCGTCTGTCGTCGCGAATCAACAGCCGACATTAGATCAGCAATTCAATGTATTGATCAATCGTGTAAAGTCAAACAAGGTCATTAGCTGATTCATTAGCAATTTTTAGACTGCTTTTGGACCGATCAGTGGCACTGGCATCCTCTTCCTGGGATTCATCGGACTAGGTAAAACCATTCACCACGTTTCCAAACGGAACATTGCATCTTCTTTTACGTGTCAGAGGTTACGTGGCTGACACTGGAAACAATTGCAAATATCCGGATCTATGTGGATCTACCTCACCGCTTCCAAAACTATTCAAATGTCGAAAAATTGTCTTTCACCACAACTAACATCCCGTTTCCATCTTAGCATTCATCGCCATAACAACCTGCTTCATCTATAATTGCAGCAGAAGATGTCTCCGCAAACCACCTCCATACGCAGAAACCACTCTAACAGGACGTATAGGAACACTCCCACGGTACCAACCAAACTGGCGCACCACTTCACGAGTCACTGAAACATCTATACCACCACTGCCCACACACCAATCACCAGTACAACCAATGCAGCAGATCCAAGAAGGAATGATAGAAACTGCTACTGCTGTTACAGATATAGACGATACCACACAACAACAACCACCACTGGATCCAGATAGGATAGTAGTGACAGAACCGAATAGTAGCCAACTAGAGAACGAAACGGTTCCCATGTTTCAGCAAGGGCACTCACGGAATCGGTCGCGAGGATCCAGTGTCCTCGTCCGGCTGTTTCAGCAACGGACTCCTAGTGTCTCTGCTGCCATGGAGACACGTCCACCAAGACCAGATACTAGACTAGCTCCAACACCACTATGGGCTCTCCAAACCAAACCCGTCGATGATCCACCACCATACGGCCACGACCATACAACTGAAACATAATACAATCCACTAAAACAAACTGTAAATAGAGACAGTCATGTGTTTTGCAAAACATGTATTGCATTTTGAGAATATTTGAAAACTTCTCTAACTATCTATATAGTGTGGGTTTATGGGTAAAACGACAACAACAAACAAAAACTGTATAATTTGGATTTTCGACTGTGTAAAATGTTTCCTGATGCCCTGTAACGAAACATCATGATTCTCTCTCTCTCTCTCGCCTTGTGTGAAGGTCTCCTTTTTTATGCCTTTTCATCGGCAACGAGGTTGTACACGTCCTATGGATTCAAAATTGTTAGCCATATGTGTGTCTCTGACGTTATAGGAGCACAAACACACTTACATCAATTTCATTCAAACCCTTAACACAGAGTTTCAAATCCCTATTTGAAGTAGCTCACGTTAGGCTACACTAATCAAGACAACATACAATCTCACACCACACATACCGAATAACACCATCACTCAACCGATAGCACCATCCATGCACAGATATAGGCTGCCCTCTCGCCCACGCATTCTGCACAATAGTCGTATGACAGACCGCCTGCACAGACCGAATCACATTCAATTCAATCAGCAGTTCAGCACGTTCTTTTGGATCTGTCAGAGATTCAATCTTTGATCGGTAAATCATGTATGTGTCTTTGATTGCTCGTAGCCAGTTGTCGATGAGGCCGTATTGGTGGTTGCCCATGGCTGCTAGCACGCCTCCACATCCGTAATGCCCTGTACAAGGATGGTGTTGGCGTCAAAGAGCACGATAAAAAAAAAGACACGACAAGCTGTGAAGCACTTATGAGGGACGTACCACAGACTATGATATGTTTAACTTTTAGTACGTCTACTGCGTACTGTATTACTGAGAGGAGGTTCAAGTCGCTGTGCACGACAACGTTGGCAATGTTTCGGTGGACAAACATGTCACCGGGACCGAGTTGAACTAGAGTTGTAGTAGCGTGTTAGCTACTAAGATCATGTGAGAAATATTGCATTTCGATAGAGCTCCTCTTCCGTCAACCTCTGAAGATATAACAGACAAACAGCAACACATCCACATCACAATGCCGCAGTCTCCAAGAAAACCATACCTAGATCAGTCGGCGGCACACGAGAATCACTGCATCCAATCCATAATATCTCTAAATGACATTTACTATGTTACTTTTACCTTTCAAACACTAGAAACACAAAAAAACACATACCTGGTTTTTGACCAATCGATAAATCATGAAAAAATCCTGGCTTCTCTCTGGCGACTTTACTAGCCCATTGTTTATTAGCTTGTAGTAGCTGACTCAATTCTCCAGATGCAGGTGGCAATACTGGTGCATGTGCAGCAGTACTGCTGCTGCTACTACTTTGACCAAGCATCTTTTGACGAAACCGGTTATAAACTGACGTGATGGGGTGGGGAAAAAAGTCAGCCTGTGTTTAGATTGCATGAATATGTATCAACATATACGGATATCGGTATCGTCTTCCTAATCACATCCTGCTTCACTTCGTCATGCCCAATCGTTATTGTATTACATACGTCGACACTTGACAGCTTGTGAGGGATTCAGACGGGAGATAAAATCCAACGAGCCATATCCATGCATCAACGTAATAAAAAACACGAGATGGCCTTCTCTCTGACTCTCTCCATGGTCTCCACGGTCTGTAATCAACAAGTCCGACTCTCAGCAGATTACAGCCCAACAAGTTTTGAGAATTTGCGAGAAATGCAATTGGAAACTCCCAGTCGAGACAAGAGATGCTCTTACCTTTATATCAGATACAACGAATCCAGTCAAGATATCACGGTCTCTATGGTCCCTTTGGTGCAGCCGAATTTAATAACCTTCAGCCTCTTGAACTTTGAATTGGACTTGCACAACCCTGCTAGGGAAAAGAGAGCAAAAGGGGGCAAGGGTACACGAGCAAGTCTCATTCAATTGGCGTTTGGACCGGTGCACGTTGCTTGAGGCAGAGATTTTGGGAGAAGGCGTGTTTGGGATACAGTGGTGACTATAGCAACGAACCTACAGTTTCCGAATATGTATGTAGGATTTGTTTGGTTGGAATGCATTCAGAATGTTGATATGGACTTGCTGGGAGGATACAATCGGCAAGTTTGACAATCTTGACAGGTTTGAGCGGAAGGAAGATGTATGGGATTCGTGATGTGCTTGAATGTAGTTTCAAAGTGGACGAACGTTTTTGGATTATTGAATATTGTAGGAATCTGTGGTTCTATGATGGTGGTTAATAAAGTCATGGTCGCCGTAGGGTGCTGATTTAAACGTTCACATTTCTGTAATTTTCAGCTTTCGCGTGTACACCCTCCGTACTAGTCAATTCATGTATGAATTATGCTTTATATGAATGTAAAATCTCAATGGAGTCGAGATCAGCAACAGAACAGTTCTTTCTTCGATTCTTGCTGACTTTTAACACGAAAAACATTTATGTTCCATTGATAGCATACGTGATTTCGAGATGTCTACACTAGTATATGTCGCGAACACGCAGAGAAATCTGTTTAAACCCAGTCAAGTGTTATCTACCGATGTTGGTCCTCCAAACTTCCTTCATCGAGTGGAGTAAAAAAAGTCAGGATCAACAACATTAAACCAACATACACGACTTCCAACAACCCAATGACCAGGCCAAAAAGCTCCAGCCTCATTCTGCCTCCCGAAATATGGCTCTCGGTATTCTCTCTACTAGACTCCACCGCTACCTATGAAGCTTCCAAGGCAGACAAGTACCTCCACGCAATCGTCGAAACCCATATAGAATCACTAGTCAAGTCTTCCCGCCATACAGTCGACCTGTATCTTCGTCTGGACTCCCGTCTGGCTGGTGTATATCAGCGGTTACGGTGTACATTGTCGTCATCAGCAGAGAACGATGGTTGCAGATACAGCTTTGTACCTGATGAGAGAGACGCTGTACGATACATCAGTGGCAGCGGAGTCTTCAAGCCCTGTACGTATATCCAGTCGACAAAGCACAGGACGGTCGGGTTTAAAACTGGTCCACCACCACACATCCTCGTCAGATCAAACTTGTCGTCGACCCTATATGCCATTCCGCTGAACGTGTCTGTCAGTGAACATAATAGCAGTAGTAGTGGTAGTGAGTGCTTGGACTTGACTGCATGCTCTATACCGGGACTATCAGTGACTGTATCCCTGTCACGATGCTTGAATGCTGTTGCAGACTTGACTGAGCACGATGGATCGACGTACATATTGACTATTCATACTGTGGAGATGAGTGGGGCTGCACTGCTGGGCGGGGTGCGTGAACCGAGTGACGAGTTAGAGAGTCTGCAGCAACAAATATCGAGTCTGAGTTTGCATGTTGCGAATTATCAATATAGATAGGAAGCATATTTTATTATATTTATAATTTATAGTTATCAGAGTATATATATCTCATAAAGACCTCACGCACTTGAAGCTTTGAATTCGTAGAATCGTTGGAGGACATCGATTGTTGACGCAAAAGCAAAGAATGGCAAGTCTAGCGGTTGCAAGCGGACGAGGACGCATTCATCCTGCCAGGAAAATACTACGGCTATCGCTAAATCATCAAGCTCAGAGACCTTCAAGCTCATCCGTCGAAACTTTTGACTCACTAATTATTGGTAGTGGGCACAATGGCTTAACTTGTGCTGCTGTACGCTTCACGACAGGATTGATGCATATCTCTACCAATTTTCAATCTAATTCTATTCATACAACTAGTATCTCGCAAAAGCCGGCAAGAAAGTGCTCGTCCTCGAGCGTCGACATTTAATCGGTGGTGCAGCAGTAACCGAAGAGGTTTACCCCGGCCACAAAGTATCTCGCGCATCATACCTCCTATCACTTCTTCGCCCACAAATCATCAAGGAGCTAGACCTTAAGCGCCATGGTCTCAAATACTTCTTACGTCAGACCAGCTCGTTCACGCCTATATCTGGAACCAAGGACTATCTGCTACTGGGGATGGACGCTTCTAAAAACCGACAAGAGATATCGAAATTCTCAACTAAGGATGCAGAAGCCTATGAAGTGTACGAGAAATGGTTGGGATCGCTAATTAAGGGATTGGTGCCATTGCTGGATTTACCACCGATGGATATGAGATCCACGCTCAAGATGTGGAGTTTGGCGATGCCGTTGATGAAGGCGTTTAGCCCGTTGGGATTGGCTGGGATGCCGGAGACGTGGGAGTTGCTCACTGCTCCGGCTTCAAAGGTTGGCTGTTGTGGAAGCTCGAGTTTGAAGACCAAATATTTGATGCTCATACGATTTTCTTTCTCTCAGATACTGAAGCGATTCTTTGAATCAGAGCCTCTGCTAAGCACGTTGGCTACCGATGCCGTTATCGGAGCTGTCGTTTCACCTGATACTCCTGGAAGGTTGTAATCGCAACATGTTGTCACCGTTCGTAACAGTATTGCTGACATTTTGCTTCCTCAAGTGGGTATGTGTTGCTGCATCATGTTATGGGGGAGCTAGATGGTGTTTCTGGCGCTTGGGCTGTAGTTGAAGGAGGAATGGGAGCGGGTACGTTTACCTTGCAACCTGAGGCACCCAAACGTACTCATGGTTCTCAAATCTATGTCCCACTTAGTGTCGAATGCGATCGCATCATCTGCAACTTCTTACGGGGCTGAAATCCGGACCAACGCGCCAGTGAAACGAATCCTGTTAGAAGCAGGGAAAACTATAGGCGTCGAGCTAGAATCAGGCCAGCAAATTCGGGCCAAATCTGTATTATCGAACGCAACGCCCAAAGTCACGTTTATGGATTTGCTACCTGCCGATGCGTTGTCTGAACGGGACAGGGAGGCTATGAAAAGTATATCGTAAGTCAGTTTAAGTCATTCCAAAGATTCAAAGGAACTGAATGGATGCTCTCGTGATGGTAGTTATGAATCAGCAACAACCAAAATCAACCTCGCACTCTCCGAACTCCCCAACTTTTCAGCTATACCAAACCAATCGCCAAACCACATACAGCCGCATCATTGCACCACTATCCACATGGGCTGCGAATCCCTGAAATCGCTAAACGAAGCATACGTAGCTGCACTATCCAGCAAACCATCACCACGCCCCATGATTGAAATGACCATCCCATCAACCGTAGACACCACACTCGTACCCCCTGGATCAGGACATCATGTAGCGACGCTATTCATCCAGTATACGCCATACGAGTATTTCAATACGGCAGACGCTGACACACGGAAGACGGCATTCTTGAAGACTGTGATCAACGTTATTGAGGAGTATGTGCCGAGTTTTGGAAGGACTGTGTTAGCAGCTGATATTCTTACACCGCCGGACTTGGAAAGGGTGTTTGGATTGACTGGAGGTAATATCTTTCATGGTGCCATGTCGCTGGATCAGCTTTTGGTTAGTAGGCCGACGGCATACGGGCCTGGAGGGTCTAGAACTGCTGTTAAGGGGCTGTATCTATGTGGAGCTGGGACACATCCAGGTAATGATTGAACTTTGTAGTTGGAAGTTCGGAATTGTGAGATTCTCAATTTCGGAATTGTTTCTATAGGCGGTGGTGTCATGGGATCTCCAGGTAGACTAGCTGCTTTAGCATGCATCGCTGATCATTAAAATGGACCAAACATCGTAGTAACTCGCATTTTCTGAACCTCGCATAATAAACCATAATACTGCATTCTGCTGAGATCAAAGGCCAGACGTGTTCATACGTTCGAAAACCATAACTTAAACAACATGAGTGCGTCTTAGATCAATCTCCCTCTTCTAGCCTTACATCCTTGCTCAGCCACAAATCCAGTTCCTTCGACCGCTTGATTCCGCGGTGAGCCACCCGCATAGAAATAAAAAAGTTCTCTCTCTCTATGACCATGATAAAAGTCAAGTAATACTTACAAGCAGCAATTATCTGACGTCAAGATAACGTCTTAACAGCTTCGCAACTGCCGCTCCATCAAGCACATACATCCACAACGTGCTTCCAACCCAAAAACCCAAAAATCACACCTTTTAATTTTTTTGCGCAACGAGATAACTAGCCAGTCATGCCTCGAAGCCTTGCATCAATGCAGAGAGCACCTTCATCAGTATGTTGCTGCATCAGAACTACTTTTTTGGTTTTTATGGCTCCGCCAAGAAAACCAGTTAACATATTTTTGTCTGATAGTCAAGGAGCACCTTCTCCAATGATCCTGAGCACTTTAGGTTTATCAGGCCGCCAGTCAAGAGAGCCAACAGCGTGACTGCCTTCTTCTCGACTGTTGCTGAAGGGGTGTCGACATTGCCTCGTAAATTGTCGCTCCAGGGCAAAAAGAAGCCCGCTCTGGCCAGCGATGATATTTTGATCAATGTCACAGGTACGGTGGTGCTTTGAGGTGTATTTGAGTTGAAATTTGGCTTGTTTGCAAGTTCGGCGGGTGTTGCCATTGTACCTATAGCAACTTTCAAGCTCTTTGCTGCATATATACTCACTTTTTCCCCTACGTCTAAATTAGGCCACGACACACGAGGCTTCCTCACCGCATCCACGCCACTAGACACCTCAACAATCCGCAACACACCCCGTCCCGAGTGCGAGACGTATCAAACCTCCCTCCAACAAATAGCACCACCATCGCTACACTCCAAAACACCTATAAAATTCCGTCTCATGAAACGTCTCCCACACTCACGCCGCTTCTCAAACCACGTCGAACCTGTTGAACTCGAGTCAGACCCGACCGAAATCTCAAACTTGCTGCCACGTCATGATTCAGCAGTATCGCTATCGCTGCTATCTAGGTTTACGCGTAAGCAGAGCTTTACCAGGATGGTGAATGAGCCTCCTGTGGGTGGGGATGAGGATTGCTGGAGGGCTGATGATGTGCAGCATGCTCATGTTGGGTTTCTGAATGGTGTTGGTGGTAGTGCTGGACAGCCACGCAAGTCTGTGAGTGTGTCGGATTTGAGGATCAATAGTAGGCAGCAGCGAACACAGGACAGTGCGAAACTATATTTTGTATCTTCGCCGCCTAGTAAGAGCCATTCGACGCTTAGGAGGCGTACGTCTGCATATATGTAAATTTTTGAAATGGACGGTGTTTTGGTAACGAGATGTGTAAAAACCAATAAAGACAATACCAAATAAATAATTAAGACGGATTGATTTCCGATAAGCAATATGTCTCGGTGTACATTGTTTCGCTGTGTATGCAATTTACATTAAACCGAGGTTTTATACAAAGTATGAGGTCTGTGTTTGTACATAGTCATGTACGTGAATATAAATAGACCTCGACTATCATCGTTTACTCTTCGCACTCTTGCCACCCATATCATTATTACTCTGCTTCTTCCCGACCTTATCCTTCTTCGCTGATGCTGCCGGCATAGATGGTCCCGCATCTGACAGTATCAGCCACGGATCCTGTAATCCACCATTCCTCGGTATAGAAGCATTGGCAGCATCCTGCTTCCTCTTTTTTTCTCCTTTCGTCTCTGGTATTACAGCACGAGGATTTGAAGGCCAGCCATCTGCTCGATCTTTCGGTCTACCACTAAATGGCTGCTTGATTGGTATATCTGCATCGTATGGGTTATATGGGACCGTTTGATACATGTCTGGTACTGTATATGTTTGATAATTGTTCATGTTGTTGGCGTCACGGTTCTTACGCCCACCACTACCAGTCCCGGTCCCACTACTCAAAGCAGCAGCCTTCTTCCCCTTCCCTCTTGACTTCGACCTCGACAACGTAAACCTCCCATTAAGCGACCTCTTTTCCCTCCTGCCTCTCTCAATATCTTCGAGTCTTCCAACAAGCCCCTCACGACGATACAGATAATTGTCTTTAACCCACTTCCTATTGCTCGCCCATGCAAGCATACTAACTGTCAATACAGCTACTGTCAGGCCAAAGACTCCAAGCACTGCAGTTACGGCTAGGTTGAGGTTTGTGCCTGTATCTGGTGTTGAAAACCAGAGATTTATCACTCCCCCTGTTGGTGCGGGCTGGAATATAGCTGCTGTAGCTGTGTAGTCTGTGTTGATAGAAGATGGAGTGCCTGAGACGTTTAATGTTGGGAGTGCGACTATGCTTGGTGATGGTGCGGATGTTGTTGTTGAAGCCTGGGCTGATGCCATACTGGCAAAGGTAGCGAGGATCAGAAATATAGATATTATAGATCGGGTTTGTGTGTTTGGGAATGTTGTGGGTATCGTGTTTTGGGCATGGCAGATTCCGGCCAACGTTATTATGATGACGAGCGTGCTAGACAGCATAGTAGATAGCGAATGCCTTGTAGGCATAGCTGCCGGTGAGGAAGCTCCTTTCGACCGGCGTATAGTGAGCTTTCGTCGGGACCGTATCAGAGAAAAGAAAGAAACGGTAGAGGTTACTACCTAACAAAGGAGGTGTAAAAGATGGTCGTGT